CAACTTCACAAAAAGTTCAAGTGTGGATTTAGGCTTCTGAGACACACATGCAGAAATGAGGATCTGATTACGACTGGCAGCCCTGAGGCTGAGAACAATCAGCCTTGAATAATCAACAACATCAAAGTTTTAATGACCTAATATTTACAAAACTAAAGAAGAGAGAAAGTCTAAGTTTTTATTTTAACTGATATTTAATAAGGTCAAACAAAATCTCTGGGTTTCAACCTTATTCAATTGAGCCTTAACCCAATAGCCTCAGAACTGCAGTAACACTAAGAAATATACAAAATTACTTCAGCACTTCCAATATATAATAAGGCTATCAAACTGTTTATGTGCCCATACACTCTATGTATTTTCCTTCCATCATTTTATTCAGCCACATGCAAATGAAATTACCTCATGCTGCATGCTTTGTTAAAGGGCTGAGATTTTACCAAGACACTGGCATGTTAGTCTGGTGTTCTACCACCCCACCCCCACTTAACAGATCTGGACCAGAGAACAGCTGCGCAGGATCAGCTCTGCTAAAGTTTTAGGCACAGACTAAAATAGAAGTCAAGAGCCAGCAAGTCACCAGTAAGTGGCTGCTGGACAAAACATAAACCTCTTCTTAAAAAACAAATTCAAGGCATCACCAAGACAATTTCTCTTTGCTCAATACAAAGGCAAGATCTAGATAATTTCTCTACAGCTAAGTTTTAATAATCCCCTTGCACTCCAGTAAGAGACTCAAAGTATAAACTGGGTCATCCTATGAAATCTCCAAGGCCCACAACCAGAGTGTAATCTCAGGATTAAAACCTGCTACAAGCCCCAGGGAGCTTGCTGCCTGCACAATAAGTACTAGTGCACTGAAGAAGCAACAAAAATCTGACCTGTATCAACTGTGTTACTCAAAACATTTCAGGACAAACACATTAAACACCTCTCTCTACCCTACTACCAAACCCAGACATTCCAATGAGCAAAAACAACTCCTACCACATCAACCTCACAGCTCCTCCCCCTCTCCTCCTGACCCAGTACCTGGTAGACAAAGCAAATAGTAGGTGCTTGGCAACCATATAGGAACTTGACATCAATGACATGCAGCTCCTCCAGGCGGATGTTGAAGGCCTTGAGTTCTTTATTATCGCGATCTAGTGGAATAACCTTGAAAAGGCCATCATAGAGACGCAGGCCAATCATCCGGCACTCTGGGTCAATGATGCCAATAATGCCAGTCTCTGAGGGGCGGCCAATGCGGTCCTGAGAAACAAATGGGATTAGGGAAGAACCTTAACAACCACAGAGCAACAGAGGACACTGGGCACCACTTCTGCAGAAAAATTTTAGGAGAGGTAGTAAAACTAATTAATCTATTTGACAGGCCAAACGGTTGGAGCCCAAATGTCAGTGCATACCTTTTTTTGTGAAATACTGAATCTCAGTGAATTATTACCCTCTCTTGGGCCTTGAATGAACTACAGGAGTCCTTTCTCCAAAAAGCTCAAACTCATAGTGTCTTTCCCTTGTTTTTCTAATCAAATAAAGAGCTGCTCCCAGCACTTGAATATTTTTCAATGAATCATGACAGTCCTACTTGGAAAATTATCATGGGCCTAAAGCAGCCACCTCACCTGAACGTTGCCATGGGCTCGTGTGATGATGTCAATGCTTTCGCCACTCTGCTTATACTCCAGGATGCAGGCATTGTACTTTGCTGTCAAGATAAACAGCAGGTCCTTGCTCTCCCCCTGAAAACCAATATTATGCTATCAAAAGAGGTTCTTTTCAAAACAGGAACAACCTGTCCAGTCTTTAAGCAAACCAAATTCTTTAAGAATTTTCCAAATTCTTCTCTCCCAAAAGAGAAAAATACATGGTGAGCTTGTAACCCACACTAGGTACACATATACCCTAAGGGCATGTACAAAAAGCCAGAACTAAAGCTGGTAAACATCTAGTCCTCACTTTCATGATTCTCCATCTCTCAGTTCTATATACAAAGTCTTCATCTATTTCAATCTCAAGCGAATCTCAATCATTGCATTCAAATTCTGAAAGATGAATGTAATGCCTCCTCCACTCCTCTCCCAAGTATTTGAAGACAAAAAAAAAAATGTGGGAATAACAATGAAAGCTAAAAGGGATCTTACTTATTTAACACAGTCTTACTTATTTAACACAGACCTCCAAAAAATTACTGTTTTGTTCAAAGGGTTATAATTAAAATTTTGAACCCATTGCTTTCTTGCCAGATTCAGTTAAGACATGATAATGCAATGTGGTGGTGATTTGGATGAAAACATTTGCACTAAAATGATAAAAATACTGATGTGTTTTTTTTTTTTTTTTTTTTTTGAGACAGGGTCTCACTCTGTCACCCAGGCTGGAGTGCAGTGTTGCCCTCTCGGCTCACTGCAACCTCCGCCTCCCAGGCTAAAGTGATTCTCCTGCCTCAGCCTCCCAAGTAGCTGGGATTACAAGTATGTGCCACCACACCCAGCTAATTTTTCTATTTTTAGTAGACGGGGCTTCACCATGATGGCCAGGCTGGTCTCGAACTCCTGACCTCAAGTAATCTACTCCTCTAGGCCTCCCGAAGTGCTGGGGTTACAGGCATGAGCCACCACGCCCAGCCTGGTAACTGTTAACATAACATTAAATGCTTGCTCTATGCCCTGTGTTACTGAATCATGTCATATTCACAATAACCCAGGAGACTGGATCTGAAAGGTGCCTTAAATGACAGCTAAAGTCAGAATTAACAAGGAATGAAGCCAGGACTGCCCCACTCTAGCCTATCCTCTGAATCAAATTGCTTTAATTTCTCCCTCCTAAAGAAGTCAACTTTATAAATGTTTCCCTAATGAATCTCTCCTACTACTGGGAAACTTGGTCAAGAATACATATATCCCAAGAATTCACAAAACAACATAACAGCCGAGGCATGGTGGCGCATGCCTACAATCCCCCAGCTACTCTACTCCATAGGCTGAAGCAGAGGTATTGCTTGAGCTCAGGAGTTAAGACATCCTCAACACTGCAAGACCCCAGTCTCAAAGAAAATAAACAAAAATAACGTAAATAACCTACAACCAACAGTTTTCCCTCCACTGTTTGTCCCAACTCAGCACTTACCTTGGGCCTGAAAAGCTCCATGACCGCAATCTTCCCGTACATGCCCACCTCTTTGACGGGCCGAAGCCCCTCGGCGGTGACCACATAAATCTCTAACCTTGTGTTTTTGGCAATCAACAGGTTTAAGTCTTCAGCTGAAGTAAAGTGTCCTGAAAGAACAGATCCTCTAACTTTCGAAGCCAGGGAAAGGGACTCCCATCCCTTCAAAATCATTTATGTCTAAATACCTCCAGAATTCTCATTTACTTCACATACTTCAACACCCTCCAGCTATTCCCTTTCTTGCCAAATCCAGCACCTCAAAGGGTCTCATTTCATGCATTCAACAAAGCTACTTCCCTAATCAGACTAAGAAAACTGGACTGGATCTAAGAGCGTGTGTCCTCCAACTGACAATGACTGAGTAATCTCTTCTCATGGCTCTTGTCCCTCGAATTTTACTTTTCCTATTACAGTTACAGGGGCAGGCTTCAATTGAGAATGCTTCCAGTCTTCATATAAAGTCTCAGAAACTTTTTTCAGACAGACCAAACGAGAAAAGTCCCAGAGTTTTACATGAAAACATTGTTTTGTCCACATCCCCTGCCCTCCTGGCAGTCTACCAACACCCCCATCCACACTCAGCTACCTCCATCTCTGAACAATAGAGTTTTGTTTTGGAATCATGATTAGGCTGCACATAAACATGCCAGCTTGGGGTCTGCATATTCAGCTGAGAATGTGGGCTCCAGATGATTCTTCCCGGGTTCTGGACATCGGTGTCTTTAATAAAAGCACATCGTCAAAAGGCAAACCCTGCACTGGGCCGGGCAAGGCAAACCCTCTTCTCCAGCAGGGCCCTCATGTAAACAACAGCCCCAGGCAAAGCGGTTAGCCCGGAAAGAGCTCCTCTCCCTCTGTGGGAGAATGCGGGCATTCTTCACATCCCTCCACCTCCTGGGCCCCCCCTGACTTCTCCACAAGAAAATCCTGACCCCAAAGTCGTCATTAACACCTTCCCTTTTCCCGGCCCCACGAGGCCAATTGCCGGGCCCAGACAACACCGTATTACCAATTCACACTCCTCTCTGGGTCTCACTGGGCCCGCCCTGTCCTCGAGGCCCAGTGAACTCCCCAGGACGAAAGAGGACCTCGAGAGAGGATCCTAACCCCCCCAAAAGCGCGTATGGAGACGACTCCTCCGAGATAGCGGGGCGGGGGAGGTTCCTCGGCCGCCAGCGCCTCCCATTCGCCGGGCCTGCTCCTGCCCGGCCGCCCCCGGGCCGCGGGCCTCCCTAGGCCGCGGTTCCCCTCAGCTCCCTCCCTTGCCGGGGTCTCCGGCCCCGGCAGCCTCACCGGTCACGCAGCCGTTCACGGCGGTGGGCTTCTGGGCAGTTACCACGTAGTTGTACGACATGTCGAGGCTTGGGGCGGCCCGTCGGGACTCGAGCGCGACACTAGAGAGAGGGACACAAGCAAAGAGACTGGCGGCCCCCACCAGCGCGCAGCGAACTCCACTGCCGCTGCCTCCGCCCCAGATACACGTTGCAGGCCAGAGCGGCCGGGGCGAGGGGCATCACGGGACGGCTTCACCTGGCTCCTTGGAGGACTCCCGAAGCCCGAGGCCGCCAACCAAAGGAGGCCCCGCCCCCGGAGGCGCCGCCTCGCCTCTTTCCGCCAGCGCCCGCGGAACCCGGATGAGAGAGCGCCGTTGGGGGTTCCCCGGGAAATTGTGGTACCTTTGGAGGTGGCGGATACGGGCGTGAGCCGGCGGGGGAGGTGCGCCAGTGTCCTCGGAGCTCGCCCGCGGACTCCCTTCCCCGTTCCGCGCCCTTCGTCCTTACCCGCATCCTGTCCTTCCGTTGCTCCAGGAGTCCTCGGGGCTGTTCCTCCTTTTGGAAAGGGAAGGACTGCGGAGGCCTAGAGAGGGAAGGGAAGTGACCGCGAATTGTGCACATCCCCGACTGGAACCTTGCTTGCCTCCCCCTTCACTCTCTCAGTTCCTCCAGATCCAGCCGGTGCTCTCCCCTGACGTTAAAACGACCCCTCGGCGTGGGGCACCAGGACGCTCACCTCCTCCCTTTGGCGCGTTGATTCTTAGAAGGGCTCACCGGCCCGCTCGCCCAATGTTACTGGTGCCCCTATGGCTCTACAAATTCGAACCTCAAACACAAAACCAGCATCTCTCCGTAGGGAACCCCAAGGAGCCAGAAGGGCAGTCAGCCCTGCAGCTTCCAGGGTAGCATCAAACAGGCTCCCCGGGAACTAGAGGAGAACCACGTGGCTTAGCTCACTCGCGGAATGCCAGAGAGGAGCCAACCCCCATTTTGCAGATAAGGAAGCTGAGACTTAAGGAGGAATTGGTTTACCTAAGACCTCCCCCCCAACCCCAAGTAGCCTGAGGCAGAGCTAGGTGCAGAGCTATGTTGATTGTTCCTACTGTGCACCCACACACAGGCACAGAGGCCAACACGCCACGGAACCGGGCTGAACTGAGGAAAGCCAGAATGTCATTGTGGTTTACAGCTTGCATTTCCCACAGCAGAGACTGTGCCTGACTTTCGAGGCAGTAGTGAAAACACACTCTTTGTAGAAAAACGAAAACAGAGGTTTAGGTCCTGGCTCTTACCCGTATGACCTTGGATATGGCCCTAGAGCTCTCCTAGTGTGTGTCCTGGAAGTAAAATGGGATCACAAACTGGGTAGCTCCCCCCATCCCCCACCCTTTTGGTGCCAAGCCCAATGACAGCAAGCGTGTGAAGAGCTTTGTTAACTTTCTCACTGCATGTGATGCCTATGCAAAAGATAAAGTTATTCTGAGGGTCACTGTTCTTCGGTGATGAAGTGGGTGGAGGTGCGGTATAAAGGCAGCCCTGTGCCTGACATGGATTGATCTGTCTTTCGGCAGCCAAGTGCAGGCGTGAACCTTGGTCGGCCCCACACTCTTCTCCATCCATAGCCCACGTACTAGAGTTTGGACTTGGACCGAAGTCTGGGGCAGCTCCCTAATTACGAGGGCGCTGAAGTGTGATTGTGCCAGTCGGCTGCAAGTGCCTTCAGCAGCTTGTACATTACCCGCTCCTGCAGGTGCTGCTGCTGCCTCCGCTGTGCTCAAACACAGGTAACACAGGATTGTCCATCCTCTGGCAACTTGGTACAAAGGTGTGAACTCGGCTTGTTTCGGAGCCTCCCCACCATGGTGAGTAATACAGGGCTGGGGCAGGGGAAGGGCAGCATGGTCTCAAAGCGGGATCCCAGCCCTGGGCACTTGGGCATGCTAGAGCTCCTTACACCCTAACCGAGAGCTGCTACTACCTCCTGAGGCTCAGGAGTTAAGAGAGAGAGTCATCCTCTCTCCCAGGGCCTGATTCCTGCTTTTCTTCATTCCCGGAGGCCACTAGTCCCAGCGAGGCCTGGGGCTGCAGTCTCTGAGTCCCTTTAGAGCTGTTCTGCCCCCTATCTGGGTCTTGCATTCAGAGTAGAACAAGAACAGTTACCTGCTCTGTAATAGACACTGTACCAGTCACAGAAGGAACCGTGAAGAATGCCCATGTGACTGTCCTAACCCTGGGGCTTATGTCGGCCTGTTTGGAGCTGGGATCTACAGTGTGGGAGCCAGGCCGTGTCCCTGGGCTTTGCTCCAGGCCCACTGATTTGAACCAAAACAAGCCTTGAACATATCTGGATTCAAATTTCAGCCTGCCACTGATGAGCTGCCTGACCTTTTACAGAAGATTTAACCTCTTGAGCCTGTTTTCTTTATCTGCATTATAAAGCAGATTAAGGCTTATCTCTAGTGGTTGTGAGGCCTCCAGGACACTGTTCCTGCTCTCAGTGAAACACAGCAGAGGTCAGCCATGTGCAGGTACTGCTACGTGAGGACTGCATGTGCGACACAGGAGCACAGAGGAAGGGCTGAGTCCTGGAGGCCTCACGTGATTCCCTTTCCTTTTCCATCCTCTCAGGCCACTGAAACCAGGGATGGCACTGGTCCCCAAACCCTCTCCTGGCTCTGGTGCAGGGATTATTGAAAATCTCAGGCAAGACATTATCAAAATGGGGAGCAGGCCACTTTCTTGGAGGCTAGTGGTACTGGAGGCTGGGCTTGGAGTGAGGCCAACTCATTGTATGTTCTGGTCCCTGGTAGGCTCTAAGGGCCACAAGCCCATGCCCTTTCTAGGGCAACCTCTGTCACCCTCCACCTCGCTTCAGCTCCTTGAGAAAGCAGCATGATATGGCCAAAAGGGAACCAGCTTTGGAGCCAGGCAGACCTGGACACCTGCTGGCTGTGTGACCTTGGGCAAAATCGTTTAACTGTGCCTCAGTTTTCTCACTGGGCTCATCTTTCCTCCATCGGGTTGTTGGGAAGATTCAATGAGACATGTTCAGAAACTCTTAGAACTGGGCCTGGCTGTAGTCACTGCTTGGCAAATGGAAGCTATCTTATTCTTTTTGCTCCCTGTAGACCTAGGCTACTCTGAAGCAGGTGGCTTAGCCCTGGCCCTGGCCAATCGCAGGACAGGTTGGCAGGGAGGCATCAGAGCCAAATTTTGTACAAAGGAGCTGCTGCTAGTGGGCTCAGGAAGAAGCTACAGCCGGAAGTTCACCTTGCCAGGACCTGGCTCAGCTGCAAGCTCCCGCCAGGCCACCAGGTGGCGGTGGGAGCCCAGCCCTCTGGGTCCATGTTGGGCCCCAGCCTCACTCCGTCTTCAGGACAAAGGCAGGGGCTGCAGCCCTTGTTCAGCAGTCTCCCGCTTTTCATAGCCTTTTTAAAAAATGGAGTAGCTCCCTTTGATTGAGTTTCCACTATACCACAGGCATAGACTCTGTTCTTGTAAATCTCTGTTTTACAGAGGAAGTATTTATAGCTCACAACAGTGATGTATCTTTCCTGAATTCCTGCAGCTAATGAGAGACACAAGTGGGATTTGAACCTAAGTCCCCATGACAGCAGAGCTCAAGCTGTGCTTCATTCTGGCCCCCACACTACTCACTTCTGTCTACACCCCGTATCCACTCAGCCAAGCCTGGCGGTGCTACTCAGCAGCTCTCCTCCAACCTGCCCACAGGCCCTCCTGAGGTTGCCCGTGGCCAGCCTTCTCCTTCCCACCCCTCCCTGCTGGTCACCCCTGCTTCCTGGCACCACCACACTATTCACTCCAGGCCTTGGCTTGTGCTCCCCCTCTGGCTGGAAGAGCCTCCCTTTTCCCTCCCCGCCATGCCTCCTACTCCCTTTTACCTATCCAGGTCCTGCTTATCCTTCACAGAGACCTCCAGGCCCCTCCGGAGGCTGCAGCCCATCCTCTGTGCTCCTGTGGTGCACATGCAGTCCTCACGTAGCAGTACCTGCACATGGCTGACCTCTGCTGTGTTTCACTGAGAGCAAGAACAGTGTTATTACCTCTTTTTTTATTTCTGAGATGGAGTCTCACTCTGTCACCCAGGCTGAAGTGTAGTGGCACCATGACAGCCCACTGCAGCTGTGACCTCCCAGGTTCGAGCAATCCTCCCACCTCAGCTTTCTGAGTAGTGGAACTATAGGCATACACCACCATGCCTAGCTCATTTTTCATATTTTTTGTAGAGATGGGGTTTCATCATGTTGCCCAGGCCAGTCTCAAAGTGTTGGGCTCAAGTGATCTGCCTGCCTCAGCCTCCCAAAGTGCTGGGATTACAGTCATGAGCCACTGTTCTTGGGCTGTTATCTTTACACACAGTGCCTAGCGCTGGGCCTGGCACACCAGGAAGCTGGGGAAATGTTTGCCCTGCATTGGAGCAGCAGTGACTGTGGAACCTGCTCAGCTCCTTCCCCTGGCATAGGAGCCTCAGCCTGGGGCTTTTCTTCCTTTGACAGAAGAAGGTGCTGGGCCCCAACTTGATTAAGATACTTTATGCTAAGGACAATACCTCCCCCCATTTTCTTTGTATTGAAGCCATTTTTTAGGATAAATTAAAGGTGTGGTACAAGACACTTCATAAATTAGGTACTGAATAGAAAGACACAAGTTATTGAAAACTCACAGAAATACCCACCTAATAAGATGTCGCCCAACTCAAGGAAGTGCTGTGCTCCTGGAGTTTTTAGGTGGATGTGGGCCTGCACCACAGCAGAATGGCTGGGCAGAATGGAGGCATCTGTGCTGACCACACTCTGATCTCCTTCTCGCCCCTCCCCTGCAGACCTCCAAAAAGCTGGTGAACTCGGTGGCAGGCTGTGCTGATGATGCCCTTGCCGGCCTGGTGGCCTGCAACCCCAACCTGCAGCTCCTGCAGGGCCACCGTGTGGCCCTCCGTTCTGACCTGGACAGCCTCAAGGGCCGGGTGGCACTGCTGTCGGGTGGGGGCTCTGGCCATGAGCCTGCCCATGCTGGTGAGCACCCTAGGGTGGGGCAGGGGGTACTGGTGGAGTGGACGGGGCCTCCTGGAAGATCCTCAGTGCTGCCATGAGGTGCAGGGCGGAGCCCAGCCCAGACTCAGGAACTGCGGCTGCTTCCCACTCTCCCTCTCCTCCGGCTGGGATCAGGGGCCCATCATGGCTTCTCTGAATCTGTTTCTACATCTAAAAAACTACGAAACTTGGGCCAAACAATCTCTCAAGTCCTTCTAGCCCTGAGAGTTGGTGATTCCATAAGTCTTCTGGACCCTCCAGGCCCAGCAGACCCACCCCTTCTTCCACGAAGGCTTCCTGACTCCCAGCCTAGAGCAGCATTCCTCTTCTGAATTCTCACCTGACATGTCCCACGCACGGACTGTCCTGGCTTGTTTCCTGTTAGGAGCCAGGGATGTGAACTCTCCTTGAGGGCTCCTGGAGGGCAGGGACTAGGCTGCACATCATTTGTCCCTTTCCTGTCTTCCTTCAGCAAATCCATTCATTCATTCGGCAAACGCTCATGAGCCCACTGCATACCTGGCACTGTACTGGGCACAATGAACCAGACAGACAAGGTCTCTGCCCTCGAGGAGCTTATTTTCTACTTAGGAGAGATAGGCAATAGTCAGGTATTCACAAAAGTAAATGAGATCATTTCAGAGGGTGCTACGTGACTTCGTAAAGACAGTAAAACGGGGCAAAGGAATAGTGAGTCCCCGGGGAGGGAGTGGGTGACTGCTTCAGACTGGGAGGTCACAGAAGGCCTCTCTAAGGTGCTTCCTAAGAAGGAGTCAGCCATGCAAAGACCTGCGGGATCTTTGAGCACCAAGCACACAGTAGGGCTCACCAAACCATGACCCCAGGAGCGTAGGAAGCCCCAGTGACTACAGGCACAAGTCCACCCGGCATGCTCACTCCACCCCTTCCACTTCCAGGTTTCATCGGGAAGGGGATGCTGACCGGGGTCATCGCTGGAGCCGTGTTCACCTCCCCGGCAGTGGGCAGCATCCTGGCAGCCATCAGGGCAGTGGCCCAGGCTGGCACAGGTAAACCTGGTGTGTGGGAGGGGCTGCGGCCAGGAGGGCACAGTAAGCACACTGAGCCCTGCCGGCTGCTTCCTCAGTGGGGACCCTCCTCATCGTGAAGAACTACACTGGAGATCGGCTGAACTTTGGCCTGGCCCGGGAGCAGGCCCAGGCTGAAGGCATCCCAGTGGAGATGGTGGTGATTGGGGACGACAGCGCCTTCACTGTCCTGAAGAAGGCAGGCCGGAGGGGCCTGTGTGGCACAGTGCTTATACACAAGGTGGGCTTCCACCCAGGACGCAGAGGCTGGCCAGCCCCTCCCAGCCTTTGCTTGCCAGCCCCTCCCAGCCTTTGCTTGCCTAGCAGCACCCAGTAACTGGACCTTTCCAGCCCTTCCCCAAGAAGTTACTTCTTCTCCAGTGTTCCCTGATCTGAGAAGGTCCCCCCAACCCCTCAGCTACCTAAGCCCAGATAGAGGCATTCTCCCAGACCCGTCCCCTTCTCTTTCCCATACCTAATCAGTTGCCCAGTCCTGGCACTTCTACTCCCAAGTGTACATAACACACATCCTCCTCAGACCCCACCACTCTTGCTCGCCTTGGTTCAGGAGTCATCTGTTCATGCTTGATGGCTGCAGCTGCCTCCTCACTGGGGTCCCCCACCTGCTTCCTGCCTTCTGGCCTTGCCCATCCATTCTCCACCTACTGCCAGAGGTGTCTTCTAAAACGTATATCTGACTAGGTTGTTCATCCGCTGAAAGCCTTGTTGAGTGCCTAGAGTCAACACAAGCCCTCACCCTGCTCCCTGACTCCCCACCTTCATCTCCCATCATCCCTACTTTCCTCTTACAGTCCAGTCACGCCAGCTCCCGTACCTGAGAGGCTGTGGCTCATCTCTGGCTTTGCTTATGCAGTGTCTGTGGCCCAGAAAATTCTTTCTTGTCCAGGCTCCTTTTGGCCTGGCTAACTCCTACCATTCTGCAGAAGCCCAGCTCTGTCTGATATCTCCCCACCTGGGAGGCTCTCCCTGATCTCCATCTCCCCACTACCCTGCGCTGGCTGGCAACCCCTACTAGTGTGGACTCCATCATTGCAGTTACCACCACACATTCATTTTCAGTTTGTTTCTCTGCTTCCCTAACCTCTCCCCAGACTGTGAGTTCTTAAAGGTGGAGACTGTGACTTAGTTGCCTTTTTTGCTTTTCAGTATATACTAGGTGCTTGGTAAAAATTGGGTGGATGGATGGATGGATGGATAGATGCGTAAAGTGACCCACAGTCGCAAGGCTATTGGAGCGAGAACTCTGGAACCCTAGAGTTGGGAAACTGGCCACCTACCGGGTGTGTGACATCGGACAAGTTACCTCCCCTCTCTGGGCACATTTCCCCATTTGTAAAGTCTTTTCTGACTCCAACAGATAGGAATTCTTGAAGATTCCTGGCAGGTAGACTGAATGAGGGGAGTTTGCTGTTCTGCCCTAAATGTGATGGGCCAGGTTGAGTGTGGAAATCCTGAGGTTCTCCCTTCCCGACAAGAAATTCATGCCCTGCCTGTCTTCTACCCGATGTGGTACAGTGATGACCTCCGCTCCGGGGCTTTTACCTCTGTGTGGCTGCAGGTGGCAGGTGCTCTGGCTGAGGCAGGTGTGGGGCTGGAGGAGATCACGAAGCAGGTGAACATGGTCGCCAAGGCCATGGGTGAGTGCTGGCCTGGGAGTTGAGGAGGTGAGTGGGGGAGGTTGGAACAGCCCTGGGATGAGGAGCAGGTTCCTGTTGGTTGCCTAATGGGGCTCCCCAGGTTATTACCCAGAAGGTGACGGAAGGTATCGCTGGGGGAGCTCTTGGGGACTGGTGGCCTTGGGTACCATAGCTGAGGTAGAGAGTCTGGCAAGCTTTCTCAGAGAAGAGGGTGCCTGTGGGCAGGCCTTGTGAGATGCTGCTGCTGTCCTTCCTGACACCCAGTGCTGAAAGCAGAATAGTCATCCCTATATGCCTCATTTCTCATAGGTACCCTGGGGGTGAGCCTATCCTCCTGCAGTGTCCCTGGTTCCAAACCCACCTTTGAGCTCTCAGCCGACGAGGTGGAGCTGGGCCTGGGTAAGCTTGTGGCCACCCATCCCAGCCCTGCCTGCCCCTCAGCCCTGGACTTTGCCCACCTTGTATACCGTAAGAGCTGTCAACCTGGTCCTGTCCCCAGGTGGTCTTAGTATTTTTACCTGGACATTTGAGGCCCAGCCTGCCTGATTTCTACCTGCTTTGCCATCCACATTCAGGACTCTGGCCACGTGGGGCTCCATGCACTGTCCACCTCCTTGCCTTTGCTCACCATTCCTACGTCCTCCTGCCCCTGCCAGAATGCACCTTCTTTCAAGGGCTATTCAAATATCACCTGACCACAAAGCTTTCTGCTTCCTCCCCTGTGCTTCCACCTTGACTACCTCTAGTTAAAGCCATCCCCACCACCGAGCCATGAGCTCCCATAGAACAGAGACCATGTTCTTCATTACTCTGTCCATTTCCACCCTCCACCTCCACCCACTCATAGTGCCTACAGTGCCTTGCCTAGTGCCCAGCACTGTGTGAGTCCCTGATAAAAATGATGAGCAAATCCCCAGGTCCCGAGTGGGCCAGCACTGACCACATGTATCCGCAGGGATCCACGGGGAAGCGGGTGTGCGCCGGATAAAGGTAGGTGGTCCCCCTGGCACAGGCTCCCCTAAGGTCAAGGCCCCCCAGATGCAGCTCATTCTTGGCTCCCTCTGACAGATGGCAACCGCCGACGAGATTGTGAAACTTATGCTCGACCACATGACAGACACCACCAATGCATCTCATGTGCCTGTGCAGCCTGGTAGGTGGCGTGTCACCCCATCTCGCAGCCCTTCCTCCACTTCGGGGCAGAGGGTCTCACCTGGGGTGTCATGTCTGTCCACAGGCTGCTCGGTTGTGATGATGGTCAACAACCTGGGTGGCCTGTCATTCCTGGAACTGGGCATCATAGCCGACGCTGCTGTCCGCTCCCTGGGTGAGCCTCGCACTGGGAAGGGGACCCTGCAGCCTTTGAAAAGGGCTGAGGGAGGGCCTTGTGATGGCAGAGAACACGGACTGTGCTGTCAGATGAGCCTGAGTTAAATCGTCTCTCTGCCACCTAATTGCTGGATACCTTGAGCCTTTGTTCATTTTCTTGTCCGTAAATGGGGTAATAATAATGATACCCACCTTATAGGGTTGTTGTGAGGATTAAGTTAGATTAAGCATATGTAAGACACTCAATACTGTGCCCAGCACCTAGCTTGAACTGAGTAAATGAGACCTATAGTTACTCATCTGCCCCGAAGTAGGGGACACCTCCAGGAAATAACGTGGTCATTTGTGGGGTTGAGGGATGCCAGGAGGAAATCAGGCCATCTCCCGACCAACCTGAGGGCCCCAGCTTCCAACATCCTTGCTTTTCATTTGTTATGTTTCTTTCCCTGATGCCCATTTTCCCCTCTTGGACTGCCACGCTCTGGTATTGCAGAGGGCCGTGGGGTGAAGATTGCCCGTGCCCTAGTGGGCACCTTCATGTCAGCACTGGAGATGCCTGGTGTTTCTCTCACCCTCCTGCTGGTGGATGAGCCTCTCCTGAAACTGATAGGTGAGACCTGGAACGTGGGTCACCCAAGCCAGGGCTACTTGTGGCCGGAAGAAGCCAGGGAGACTTGGAGACCCCATCAGGGCTGACTGTGGCAATCAGAGCTCTGGAGCCTGTGAAGAAGGCCCTAAGCTTCTCCAGCCTTTGCTAGCTCTCACTGGACTAGGAGGAGTTGGTGTTAGGATCCTCCTCAGATAGGCCTGACCCTTTCCCCAGGGACACTTCCTTCATAACCCTGTAAACAGTAGGCACTCAGTCTGTGGTTGAGGTGGACTCCCTTCCTCCAGGGCTGCTGAGAGCCAGGCCACCAGGGCCAGGATGAGGGAGTCCAAGCCCTCCTGAATCCCTGGCTGGCCAGCCATGTCTAAAAGAGTTATCTTGCTGCCATTAGATGCTGAAACCACTGCAGCAGCCTGGCCTAACGTGGCTGCAGTCTCTGTTACCGGGCGGAAGCGGAGCCGGGTAGCCCCTGCGGAGCCCCAGGAGGCCCTTGATTCCGTTGCTGCAGGAGGTACCAAGCCCTGCTTCTGGGGAAGGGGCAGGCTTCCCAAAGGATGCAGGGGCATGTGGTGGGACGGGCCAGGGCCCTGGCGCCCACCATCCTCCCTTTCTAGGCTCAGCCTCGAAGCGGATGGCGCTGGTGCTGGAACGGGTGTGCAGTACCCTCCTGGGCCTGGAGGAGCACCTGAATGCCCTGGACCGGGCTGCCGGCGACGGTGACTGTGGCACCACCCACAGCCGTGCAGCCAGAGGTTGGTGCCAGGGACTTTGCCAAGTGAGGTCATTCACAAAACCCTAGCTCCCCTTTCACCTGTTTTCCTGAAGACAGGGACCTTCTTTTTCTTTGAGACAGAGTCTCAGTGTGTCTCCCAGGCTGGAGTGCAGTGGTGCAATCTCGGCTCACTGCAACCTCCGCCCCCCAGGTTCAAGCACTACTCCTGCTTTAGCCTCCCTATTAGGGATTACACCACTATGGCTGGCTAATTTTTGTGTTTTTAGTGGAGGCAGGGTTTCGCCACATTGGCCAGGCTGGTCTCAAACTCCTGACCTCAAGCCATCTGCCCGCCTCAGCCTCTCAAAGTGTTGGGATTATAGGCATGAGCCACCGAGCCTGACCAACAGGGACCTTGTTAACAACACAAAGGTAGGAGGTTGTTATCTTAGAATGAAATGAAATCCTTCACAGTGAATAACTTAAAACTCAAGGCAAACTTATTCTGTTGTCCTTATTTTTCTTAGTTTACCCAGCCTAGTGAAAAGCTCTTAACTGTCCAGCATCAATTACTCAAGAAAAAGGTATTTGGTGCCTGCCATGGGCTAGGCATTGCTCTCAACTCTGGATACAGTAGTGAACAAAGCAGGCAGAAATCACTGCCCTCATGGCTTATGTTCTGGGAGGAAGACAAACAGTAAACAAGATAAACCAGTAAAACAGAGGATGTTAGCACAAAGGGCTAAGGAGAAATAACAAGGCCAGGAAGCGGAGTACAGGGTGTCAGGTGGAGGGGCTGGGGGCAGGCCTCACCTCCCGAGGCCCCGTTCAGTTACACAGCCCAGCGCCTCTCCAGACTGCACACTGGATGTAGTAAGGGCTCTTGGGAAGCCTTCCTTCTGCCTTCCTCTCAGCCTCTTCCAGCCTTCACTGTTGCTGGCTAGAAGTCAGGGAGATGGAGGGAGTGTCTCTGAATTCCTCCCATCTCTGTGTGCCTACAGCGATACGGGAGTGGCTGAAGGAGGGCCCACCCCCTGCCAGCCCTGCCCAGCTGCTCTCCAAGTTGTCGGTCCTGCTTCTGGAGAAGATGGGAGGCTCATCTGGGGCGGTGGGTGCCCAAGGGCTGAAGGGCTGACAGGGAGGTGGCTGGGCCAGCTGGGGTCCTGGCCAGCACCACATGCTCAGCATTCTTATCTTCCTCAGCTCTATGGCCTGTTTCTGACAGCAGCTGCCCAGCCCCTCAAGGCCAAGACCAGCCTCCCAGCCTGGTCTGCTGCCATGGACGCCGGCCTGGAAGCCATGCAGAAGTGAGCTGGAGCCCTGTGCCTCAGACCAGGGTTGGGCTGGGGGAGGTGGTTGGTGACATCTGCTCCCCACCAGGCCCTAGCCCCACCCTTTGAGTGATTCCCTTGGTTCCCTACAGTGAGCCTCTTTCATTTTCTTTCCCTGCCAGGTATGGAAAGGCTGCCCCAGGGGACAGGACTATGGTGTGTACTTGGGCTCTGGCCCCAGACCTTTCTCCTTTTGAGCCTGTAAGCCCTAAAGAGCACCCTCAGTGGCAGGGCCTGTGCTCAGCTCCCTTTCCCTCACCTTGTCCAGCTGGATTCTCTGTGGGCAGCAGGGCAGGAGCTCCAAGCCTGGAAGAGCCCAGGAGCCGATCTGTTCCAAGTCCTGACCAAAGCAGTCAAGGTAAGTGAGGCTGGGCCCCACCCAGGGAGACAGGCTTGGAACCACCAGACTCCTGTCTCCATGTGACCCTGAGCAAGTTCACCTTCCTGGACTGCGGTTTCCTTCTCTGTGCAATGGAGATGAGCACCTATCTCAGAAGGCGGTTATGTGTCTAAGGAAATGCTTAGAGTCCTGCACAGTGCCTGGGATGTGGCAGGGCCTCAGTGAATGGCGGCCCCTTTCCCTGCTGGAAGTAGATGAGAGGTGACTTTCCACCTGGTGAGAGAGCATAAGGTGCTGGCAGAGCCAGGGCAAGAGTGTCCAGGGCCAGGCTGCATGGCAGAGACACTCTGCCCATGACAGGGAGGAGGCCTGGGGGCCTGCCCTTGAACCTGCTCGCACACCCATCCCCCAGAGTGCCGAAGCTGCAGCCGAGGCCACCAAGAATATGGAAGCTGGAGCCGGAAGAGCCAGTTATATCAGCTCAGCACGGCTGGAGCAGCCAGACCCTGGGGCGGTGGCAGCTGCTGCCATCCTCCGGGCCATCCTGGAGGTCTTACAGAGCCAGGGTGTGTAACTGCCTCCCTCTGCCTCAGCTCCTCTCACTGCTGCTGTGTTGAGGCAGCCTTTGTCACTTCCTCTGCCTTCCATTCGTCACCTTCTCCCAGCCTGGACCCCTTGGCCTGCCCTCTAAGTTGAGCAGGAAATCCTTCACCAAGATTCCAGAGCTACAGACAACACCCAGAGCGAGCCGGAGTGGGTCCCCATGCCTCTCCAGTATGCCCTCTCCCTTTGCAGGAGGGTGGAGTCCCTGGGCCATACCACCCTCCCCTGCCAGCTCTGGACTTCAGAAATAAGGCATTTTCCTTGTGCAGCCTTTACCTGGCAATCCTAATTTGGTTTTAAGACTCGCTATGAAATGCCTTTCGCACCTTAACCCCAGTGAGTGTGGAAAAGAAAGTTAATAAACTATAACACATGGAAGTAAGAAAGCCACTGCCTTCTCTGAGGAACCTTCCCCAAAGCATGTGAACCAGGGGCCCACAGCCCTGGCCACAGGCATCATGAACCATCTCCTACCAGGCAGATCTCTATTACTTGAGGCCCTAACATAGGGTCTCCTCAGCTGGGCTGCTTCCAAGGGGCCCCCACCCATCCCCCTTCCAATACACATACCTGATATGTGTAAGAATGCTAGAAAGGCTTTCCTCAGCATTGAATTAACAATTCAGTGGCTCCTCAGGAGTTAAATGGGTATTTGGGACACCAGAAGGAAAAGAAATCATCATGGTCTAAGGTTCAGTTATGGATCAGAAAATGCAGCCAGGCTGGGCGTAGTGGCTCACACCTGCAATCCCAGCACTTTGGAAGGCCGAGGCAGCAGATCCCTTACACTCAGGAGTTCAAGACCAGCCTGGGCAATATGGTGACACCCCGTCTCTACCAAAAAAAAAAAAAAACAAAATTAGCCAGGTATGTATGTGTGCCAGTAGTCCTAACTTGGGAGGATGGCTTGGGCCCAGGAGATCGAGGCTGCAGTGAGCTGTGATCATGCCACTACATTCTAGCCTGGGCAACAGAGCAAGACCCTGTCTCAAAAAAAAGGAAACTGCAGTCAAGCCAGCCCCTGGGTCTCTTTCTAGAGCAATTGCTGATGGCAGGGTGAGCAGGGGTACTCTGTGCATGTGGAGACAAATAGCACATGCCTGGCATGCATGTAGGGCAAGGAGTGGTTAAAGGCACTGGCTGTCGACTCATACACATGACCTGAAATCTGCTTCTGCTTTAACCTGGCTACATGAGCTAAGGCCTATTTTTTAGCCCCCTGGGATCTCTAAAATCAGAACGGTACCCACCTCACCGAGACATGAAAGCATTCAAATATGCTGATGAAGATGAAGCTCAGCACAGTCCAAGTGCTCACTCACTGGAGTTACGGTTATCACGGGAAAGAGCCTCCTGCCCGCCCCCCCAAACCCCCGTCACCTACTTAGCCTAAATTTGGCTGTGGGCTCCCGCAGTGGCTGGGCTTCTCTACCCAGGGTCCTGTCTGTCAGCTGTACCGTACGTCCCTGACCACAAGGTATCCAAGTGCACAGGGGTATGTGCCCATCAGCTGGGAAGGAGGTTGGCCTCAGATGGTGGCCTGTAGATCCCAGCTCTGCCATTTCCTGGCTGGGTGACCTCAAGCCAGTAGTCACTTACCCTTTTTAAGTCTTGTTTTCCCAGATTATGAAATAGGAAAAATTTCCTTCCTCGTGAGATAAGCATATGCCATTAGCTATCAAGGACATCGGCACATAAATGAACTGCATGTGAATCCACACATGTGACTCCATTAAGACAGAGAATCATGTGGATCTCTGGTGCCTTCCGGTTGGCCCCTCCTTAGGGCTGTGAGGGTCAGACCTGTCCTGAGGCTTTTACAAATTGGCCAGAACTCATTTGACCACAGCATCATTACATCAGAGGGTCATATTAGAGACTGAACGTTTGTGCCCTCCCCACCCCAGATTCCTGTGTTGAAACGCTCACCCCACTATGATAGTGTTAGGACGTGGGGCCCCTGGATGTGACCGGGTTATAAGAGTGGGGCCCCAGAGCTCTCACACCCTTTCCACCGTGTGAGGTCATGGTGAGAAGACGGTCTCTGAGGAAGCTGGCACTTGCCTCACACCAAATTTGCCAGCGCCTTGATCTTAGATGTCTGTAGCCTCCAGCACCGTGAGAAATAAACGCTTGTTGTTTGAGCCCGCAGCCTATTTTATTTTTCTTATAGCAGCCTAAACAGACAAAGACAGCTTTGATTCTTAACATAGTTAATGAAACTTGAGCTTCAAAAACTAGTGAAATGCCTACCCCTGTGGAGACAGGGAGCTGGTCATGGGACCCAGGTGCACGGAGGACATCCCAGTGGCTTTGAAGGCTCCAGCCAATCAGGACATTCAGTATTAGCCCTTCTGCCAACATCTGGCAACGTGAAGCTGGGGTGGACAGTTGGCCTGATGTCGCCAGGAGTAGGATGCTAATGCTGCTAGAGAGTAGGTGGACTCCAGACCCCAGGCTTCTCACTTGCCTACTAAGCACAGCAGTCTAGAGCCTGGGACCTGGCAGGGCTTCTTTGGAGAAGGCAAAAAAGCCACAGCAGCAACACTTAGAAGAGAAGCAAGACCCTTCCCTCTCCCCACCCCGTTTCCTCTGAAGAAGAGCAACAGCTCCAGCTCCAGCATGGCACAGAACTCTGGTTGAGACAGGCAAGCAGCCATGATGGGGGCAGGTGAAGCAATGTGGGTCTCAGCAAGGAACCCCTCTGAAGGCAAGCAGTAGCTCCCAGGGCTCTGTTGCACATAGGACCCCACAACTTTGGCATCAGTTGCATGATGTGCTGCAGCGTGATCAGAGGGGCTGGGGCCCTACCCAGCAGAAGGCAGGAAGGCCCTGATCCAGCAAGGGGAAGTAAAGGAAGTCCACAGCCACCTCTGTTACTCATTACTATTGAGCCATCTGGGGACAGGCTCTGCTCTTGGGAGAGCAGGTTACCAGGATTCACAGGGCTGCCTGCTGGTGACAGGCATGTAAGTCACAGGGAAAGGCCGGGATCCAGGCCTCAGCTGTAGCAGCAGCTGGAAGAGGTAGAACCGCACATTCACAATACACGCAGACTCAGAGTAGCAATACAAAATACAACAGCTCACAGCAGTCAGCTCCTCAGCGGAAGCTGCATGGGCCGCCACTCCCTACTTCTCCTGCAATCACTCCATGATGTCTCCACCCCACCTCACAACCAGATGGGGCTGGATGGCAGAGCAGATGAAGCCTGCTCCATGGCAGGGCGGCCTAACTGAAATGCATGCCTTTGTTGGGGAAGCAGACAGATACCTCACCTCCCTCATGGTTCATGTCGTGGACTGCACATGAGTCCCAGCTCTTCACCACACCCCCAGGAGTCTTAAGCGGAAATCAGTCTGATTTCTTCAGGCAGGAGCAGCAGGAGTGGCCAGGGCAAGGAGGACCTCGTGTGAACAGAGGACCTCAGAAGCTGATGCCAAGGAGTGCAGAAGCCAAAGCCACCAAGAAAAGCAGACAGGCAGCAAGTGGCTGGAGAAGGCAGGCTCAGCACCCAGGCGAGAAGTCTGGGACTTCGAAGAAAGTCGTCTGCTGAAGCCAGCTGGGAGCCTGGGAAGCGCAGAGCTTCTGAGGAGCACAGGCTGCAGCACCAGGACTTCCTGGGAACCCCTTCCTGCTGCTTCACTCCCCATCATGCAGCAGGGGCTGGAAAGACAGGCAGATGCCCAGGAGTTAATGACAGGATGCGGGAGTCACCCCAGGCCCAAGCCGTTCAGACAGACCCCCAACCTGCAGGGTGGTCCCCACACAAGCCACCAAATCTCTCAGGGAAGCCCCAAAGTCCCTGACCTGGTACATACCCCATCTCCCTGGATCCCTTCAAGACCCGCTTCGAGCACTCAGCTTGTCACCAAGCACCCAGCCCACTAGACTAGCCCCAAGGCTGGGAAAGGAGAAATCACACACCCTTGGCATATAGTCAAGCCCTTCCTTGGGGAAGAAGGTAAGGCCACACTTCATCTCACAGAACCACAGCAATTTGGAAGGGAAATTCTGTTTCTCAATGGGCAGACCCTAGGGAGCCCCAGAGAGTTTCGCTGGGATAGGCTGTTTTGGGACCAGTGCTCCCCATCAGCCACCCTAACTCCACCCTCAAGCTACTTGGTTTCCCACTGTGCCACTGGGTTAGTCCTCTTGAGCCTTTCCTGGGAGATCCTTCTCTAGACCTGGCCCTGTCCCACCCTGGAATGTGGGACCAGAACCCATACCTGTCTGTCGGTCAGGATCCCTGGCTCGGGGCGCTTCCAAGTTGAAGCCAGAAGGATGTAGAGCACCAGCAGCCCGAAGGCCACCACCAGCATCCCGGTGCTGTTGGCAAAGACAGCCTCGCTGGGAAGGCTGGAGTATGGCCTGGTGCTGTTTTTCCTGAAGATGACAAAACAGTGTGAGCTCTTGAGAGATTTTTCCACCTATTTCTGTCCAGTGGGAGACTCGATGTCACTAAGAGAGGGTGAGAAAAACTTGCCGTGGCCACGTGTGATCTGCAATTTTAATACCCTTTCTAAGTCCCTGCAAATATTTGTAAAATGGGCCAGGTGCAGTGGCTCACTCTTGTAATCCCAGCACTTTGGGAGGCCAAGGCATGAGGACTGCTTCATCTTAGGAGTTCGAGACCAGCCTGTACAACATAGTGAGATCCTGTCTCTACAAAAATAAAACTTAGCTGGGTAAGGTGGTACATGCCTGTAGTCCTAGCTTACTTGGGAGGCTAAAACGGGAAGATCGCTTGAGTTCAGGAGTTTGATGCTGCAGTGAGCTATGGTCGCACCATTGCTCTCCAACCTAGACAGCAGAGTGAGATACAGTCTCTTGTGGTGGGGGGTGGGGGTGAGGAGATAGAGAGGGTCTTGCTATGTTGCCCTGGCCCAAGTCAAACTCCTGGGCTTATATAATCCTTCCACCTCAGCCTCCCAAGTAGCTGAGACTACAGATGCCTGCCACTGCACCTAGCTGTAATAATCCTTTTTACCCATGAGGCAACTGAAGCTCAAAGGAATGAAATCAACTTGCCCAAGGTTGCCTAACTAGTAAATGGCAAAGCCAAGATTGAAATCGAGGTCTGACCTCAAGTCCTAGTTGCTTTTCACTACACTCCATTGCCTCGGAATGGACAGTGGTGGCCAGGCGTGCAGGCTCTAGAGTCAGACTGCCTAACCTGAGTCCCAGCTCTGCCACTGACTAGCTGTGTGCCCTTGGTAAGTTACATCACTCCTCTGTCCCTCATTTTTTCCCCCTGAACAGTCCTATTGCAGAATCTGTTCCCTCAATTGAAAATGGCAATGACAACAATACCAATGAGGTAGGGTGGCTGAGAGGATTAAATGTAAGGTGCTTAGGACAGTTCACACAGTAGGTGCTAAATCAAACTGATGTTCAATACATATTTGCTGACTTACCAATTTCAACCTAAAGAAAGATCAATTCTGTTACCTTCAAGATCAGGAATGGGCCCAAACCCAAAAGCTCTCCTCCCTTGGGTGAGTCCTATGATGATAGGGTGTGTCTTTTGAAGACCCCATTCCCTCCTCTTCACCTTAGGGTTGGGGACCCCACTGCACTCACAAACTGAAGAAAAGCTTCTCATTGATGCCAGAAATGACAGATGCAATGGACAGAGAGAGGATGGCGGCTCCAAAAAAGACGTGGATAGGTTTTAGGAGGCTGCGCAGCCACACGGAGGCCCAGGGCAGGAGGAAGACAGCAAAGCCCAGGAACCACTGTGGACAAAAGGGAGGACACACCTGACGGGGCTGTATGTGACCACAGCACATCCGGTCACCCCACCCCACCAGCGCCTCCTCCCCATCTCCTTGGCTCTTCTTTCACAACTCACACCCTCCCACCAGGCATTGCCCACCGCCAGGCACTGCCCACCACCAGGCATTGCCCACTGCCATTGGGGCCTATTACCCATGAAACAAGAACAGTAAATGACATGCTTAGCTCCCACATCACTCCCAGCAAACCCAATTGCCTTGTTTGTCTCTGCTTCCTTCCAGTCCTTGCTCATAAAACTCCACACTTGCACAGGCCTGAGATCGGAATACAGAAACCACTTCTAGAATTCTTTTGGTTCACAGAGAGGTGGGAGTGGGGAAAGTGGGAGTGAGATGGCTGATTGAGTCAGCATGGTATGTGCCATGACAAAGTTAGCAGAGGGGGCTCTGGGAGGACAGACGGGCAGTGGGAAGGATAAAAGGACAGGGTAAGTTCAGGCCACTGACCTCCCACAGCCCTTGAACAAACTGATTCAACAGAATACGACCTGCAAGGCTCTCTCCAGGCAATAAGCAGAAGGAATATTTGGTACTCATGCAAGTGAAGACCCACCCAGAGCTCATGGCTCTGGGAACCCTGAGGAGGAGGGGAGAGAGAACCCACCTGGCAGGCAAAGAGGAAGACGGTGGTGATGCCAAGCCAGCTGTGCAGGGAGTAGAGGTTGGCAATCCTTCCATGGTTGTGAAACGTAAAGACAGCAACCAGCCCCACAACAGTGAGGACGAAGGCCATCAGGTGCAGTGCTGCATGGAGGAGTTTCCAGGGCAGCTTCGGCCCCACCCATGACTGGGGCAGACGGTACACCAGCGATGCTGCAGGAGAGAGTGGGCCCAGGGCTCAGCCTCTCCCCTCATGCCCATCCAGACATCAGGGAGTAACCCTGATAGGATTATACACAGCTTCCCAGAAAGGGAACAGGAAATGCTAAAGCACTGGTATCAACTCCTTGGCGTCTTCACTCCTCCAACGATCTGTGGGATAACAGTCAGCCATGCAGGGAGGAGGCGCTGGGCATGGTGGCTCATGCCTGTAATTGCAGCACATTTTGGGAAGCCAAAGTGGGAGGACTGCTTGAGGCCAGGAGTTTGTGGTTACAGTGAGTTATGATCACGCCACTGCAATCCAGCCTGGGCCACAGAGAGAAATGAATAAATAAATAAATAAATAAATAGATTCAAATTAATAAGGAAGGAGGGCTGGGCATGGTGGCTCATGCTAGCACTTTAGGAGGAGTTCAAGACCAGCCTGGGCAACATGGCAAGATCCTGTCTCTACAAAAAATAAAAATAAAAAAATAAATTACCCAGGCGTGGTGGCACATGCCTATACTCTCAGCAACTCAGGAGGCTGAGGTGGGAGGATCACTTGAGCCGAAGAGTTCAAGGCTGCAGCAAGCTATGGTCATGGCGCCGTACTCTAGCCTGAAAAAGAGGGAAACCCTGTCTCTTTAAAAAAAAAAAAAAAAAAAAGTGGCCGGGCACAGTGGCTCACGCCTGTAATCCCCACACTTTGGGAGGCCAAGGTGGGAGGATCACCTGAGGTCAGGAATTCAAGACCAGCCTGGCTAACATGGTGAAACCCCATTTCTACTAAAAATACAGAAAAATAACCCGGCATGATGGTGTGTGCCTGTAATCCCACCTACTTGGGCAGCTGAGGCAGAAGTGTTTGAACCTGGGTGGTGGAGGTTGCAGTGAGCTGGGATCACGCCACTGCACTCCAGCTTGGATCACAAGAGCGAAACTGTCTCAAAAAAAAACAAAAAACATGTGGAGGGGGGAAGCAGGTTTCTTGGACCTATCATTCTATTTTTACAAAAATAAATTCAGCTTGTTTACAGTTTCTGGGCTAAAAAGCATTGTGACAGTTATTATTTCATCAAACTGAATTGTCACAACTGAGGCTGGCTGTCAAGAACACAGGCACTAAGGTCAGGCAACATAGGTCCAAATCCAGGCACTGTCTCTTAGCTGTTTGGCCTCTCTAACTTTCAATTTCCTCATCTGTAAAATGGATATAGCAGTATAGCCCACCTTACAAACTTTTAAGAACAAAATGGGATGATACATGTGAACTGCACATGGTAAGCTGCTATCATCAATGGCATCAATATTGCCATTTTACAAGTGGGGGAAATGAGGCTCACCTGGACCCCAAGGCACAGATTGGAAAGCATGGGGCAAAGATTACAAAGATGGATCCCACCCTGGGTGCGATGGTTCACGCCTATAATCCCAGCACTTTGGGAGGCAGCAGAGTTGGGTGAATCATATGAGGTCAGGCATTCCAGACCAGCCTGACCAACATAGTGAAACCTCATCTCTACTAAAAAATACAGAAATTAGCTGGGCATGGTGATGAGCAACTGTAATCTCAGCTACTTAGAAGGCGGAGGCAGGAGAATGGCCTGAACCCAGGAGGTGGAGGTTTGCAGTGAGCTGAGATCGCGTCATTGTACTCCAGCCTGGGCAATAAGAATGAAATTCTATCTCAAAAAACGAAAAAAAAGATGGATCTCAGAAGAGCAAGCAAGTCTATGAAAGGGTTCAATCTCCTGTTTTCTAGAGATGGGGTTATAAAACTGCAGCTCAAAGGCCAAATCCAGCTCACTACCTATGTTTGCAAATAAAGCTTTATTGGAACATGTAAGTCACACTTATGTGTTTATGTGTTGTCTAAGGCTGTTCTCACAATACAGTGGCAGAGCTGAGTAGCTGCTACGCAGATTACATGTCTGGCAAAACTCCAATATTTATCATCTGACCCTCTACAGAAAGTTTGCCAACTCCTGCCCTAGAGTATCTGTGAGGCCACCCTTCTGAGACCCCCAGTCTTAACCACTTCCTCCTCAAAATGACAGCTGGGTCCAGTGACAGCTCACCCCACCCTACCACCATGGCCGCAAACCTAATATTGACAAAGGCCAGCCTTGGAGAGGGAAAGTGCAGGTTGGCCCTGCCTGAGCCCTATCCCGCCTCCCTTGCTGACCTCTTACTCACCACCTCCGTAGAATACCACCATGCCAGCTACCATAAGCACTGGGTGCCAGTTGAACATGTAGATGCTGCCATTCCAGGCAAAGCCGCCACGCCAGTACTGCATCCAGTAGACAGTGAAGAGGATGCACATGGAGCCCAGGGACCCCAGCACCAGGCAGGACAGGTAGAACCATCCTGACGCCATTCTGATGATGCACTCCTAGGAGGAGAAGTCACAAGTTTCCACTGGCTCAGGTGTGCCCAGTACTCTGGCTAAAGGAGGTGACACTGATTCCGCTCTTGGCCTGTGGGATGGAATCTTTTTGCTTCAGTTCCCCTGCATCAGCCTAGGCACCGCCCCCTTGAGGCCTCAATGCCTGAGTGGGCCTGATCTTCAGCTACAATGACTGAGGCCACACCCCAGCACCTGGCAGTGCTCAGACAGAGGAGCAAGCTCAAGGCTGTGGCTGGCCCTGGAGAAGGACAGATGCCACGGCCCAGAGTCCTGGAATTAGTCTCCCCTCACAGGACCAGAGGGTAAAGAATTACCACCCCATATCCCCTAGGAAAAAGGGGACAGGAATCAAAGTCCAGGCTAAATCACCGGAATGCCCAGGCTCTGGGTTCTAACATGAGGAGGCAAAAATTACAATCTGAAAGGAGGAAATCCCCCACATTACACTAGACAGGAAGGAGTCCCATAGGCTCCCACTTCCACAGAAAAGTTCTTCCCCGGAGAGTGAGCTCTATGGGGCTAGTCCTCACTGGAGAGGTAAGCAGGCCTTCACTCCACTGCCCACATTCCACACCTCAAACCAGGTGATGCCCCTCAGCTGTCTCCAGGCCTGAGACTTCTGCTTTCTCTTCCTCTGGGGAAAGTCCAGAGAAGAAAAGAGGAAGCAACAACTCATGGTCTAGAAAGCAAGAGGTTTATTTTGAGATTTCCGCAAGTCCTTGATAAATCCAGAAACCAACCCTGGTTTCGGGAATGACAAATAAAGCCCTGAGCAGTTGCTCTTTTTTTTTGTTGTTGTTGTTGTTTTTTGTTTGTTTGAGAAGGAGTTTCGCTCGTTACCCAGGCTGGAGTGCAATGGCGCGATCTCGGCTCACCGCAACCTCCGCCTCCTGGGTTCAAGCAATTCTCCTGCCTCAGCCTCCTGAGTAGCTGGGATTACAGGCACGCGCCACCATGCCCAGTTCATTCTTTGTATTTTTAGTAGAGACGGGGTTTCACCATGTTGACCAGGACGGTCTTGATCTCTTGACCTCGTGATCCACCCGCCTCGGCCTCCCAAAGTGCTGGGATTACAGGCTTGAGCCACCGCGCCCGGCCTGAGCAGTTGCTCTTAAATGCCACGCAAGTGGGCAAAGCGGCAGGGCTGGCCCTGCTTTCAGCTAATATGTAAGCAGCTCGGGCACAGGGTTCGAGGGAGTCACCCTGTCCCATGGACTCATACCAAGAAGGCAACAATGTGGCTTCCTGCTTTGAGGGCCCTCATGCTGAACCAGCTAACAGAGAAGAAATAGCCGATAGCCCCCATGGAGGTAAAACACTTGACTGCTCACCTTTAGCCCTAATGATAGACTCAGAGAACTGGTCTGGGCTCCAGTTCCTGCAAAATGGGCACCTTGAGCAAATCACTTAACATTTGCAGGACCTACCTACAAGAAAAGCATGGCAATAAGAATAACTGAACAATAAGAATATCGAACACTGCCAGGTGTGGTGGCTCATGCCTGTAATCCCAGCACTTTGGGAGGCCAAGGAGGGCAGATCACCTGAGGTCAGGAGTTCGAGACCAGCCTGACCATTACGATGAAACCCTGTCTCTATTAAAAATACACAAAAAAAAAATTAGCCGGGCGTGGTGGCAGGCACCTGTAATCCCAGCTAGTCGGGAGGCTGAGACACGTGAACTGCTTGAACTTGGGAGGTGGAGGTTGCAGTGAGCTGAGATCATGCCACTGCAATCCAGCCTAGACAACAAGAGCAAGACTCTGTCAAAAAAAAAATATATTGAAGACACAAGATCCCATTTACTCTTAACCGTGGAAGGCATATTTTCCATGAGAAAACTAAGGCTCATGGAGATTAAGTAATCAGCATTAGGACCCAGTGAGTGGGTAGGGAGTTTCAAATCTTTCTATGTTTATTTAGCCTCAAGGCCCATTCTTCTTCCTTGACCACAGGTTGTTAGATCAAGTGAGTAAATGTATGTAGCACATTGTAGAAGTCAAGTATTAGAATTCTTGGCTGGGCACAGTGGCTCACATCTGTAATCCAGCACTTTGGGAGGCCAAGACAGGTGGATCACCTGAGGTCAGGAGATGGAGACCAGCCTGATCAACATAGTGAAACCCCATCTCTACTAAAAATACAAAATTAGCCAGGTGTGGTGGTACATGCCTGTAATCCCAGCTACTCGGGAGGCTGAGACAGAAGAATCACTTAAACAGGGGAAGCAGAGGTTGCAATGAGCTGAGACTGTGCCATTGCACTCCAGCCTGGACAATGAGAGTGAAACTCTGTCTTAAAAAAAAGAAGTTTTAGTCATTACCATCATAGCACTTGATTCTAACTGCTAACAAAAACCTGTGGCTCATGTTTCTCTTGCCTGCCCAGGCCTCTCAGTGGCCCTCAGCCATGCAATGCCATGCCATGCCATGCCAGCTCTCCCCATGCTAGGGGTCCATCTAATCATGAAAAGATGCCATACTTTCACAAAGTGACCCAAGTTGGCAGTAATCTCTGAGAAAGGAAGGTCCTGGCGAGGTCAGGATTGCTCACACCTGCAATACAAGCATGTTGGGAGGCCATGGCAGTTGGATCACCTGATCACCTGAGGTCAGGAGTTCAAGATGAGCCTGGCCAACATGGTGAAACCTCCATCTCTACTAAGAATACAAAAATGGCCAGGCATGGTGGCTCATGCCTGTAATCCCACCACTTTGGGAGGCTATGGCGGGTGGATCACCTGAGGTTAGGAGTTCGAGACCAGCCTGGCCAACATGAAAAATTGAGTAAGCAGTTTTTAGTAGTGAAACCCAGTCTCTACTAAAAATACAAAAATGGCAGGGCATGGTGGCTCATAGTATAATCCCAGCACTTTGGGAGGCTGAGGTGGGCAGATGACGAGGTCAGGAGTTTGAGACCAGCCTGACCAACATGGTGAAACCCCATCTCTACTAAAAATGCAAAAATTAGCTGGGCATAGTAGCACATGTCTGTAGTCCCAGCTACTCAGGAGGCTGAGGCAGGAGAATCACTTGAACCCAGGAGGCGGAGGTTACAGTGAGCTGAGATCGAGCCATTGCACTCTAGCCTGGGCAACAAAGTGAGACTCTGTCTCAAAAACAAAAACAAAAACAAAAATTAGGTGGGTGTTGTGGCACGTGCCTGTAATCCCAACTACTAGGGAGGCTGAGGCAGGAGGATTGCTTCTTGAACCCGGGAGGCAGAGGTTGCAGAGAGCCACGATCATGCCATTGCACTCCAGCCTGGGTAAGACAGCAAGACTCTGTCTCAAAAAAAAAAAAAAAGAAGAAGAAGAAGAAGAAGAAGAAAAAAAGAAAGGAAGGTCCAAGGGCTAGAGGGAAAAGTTTCCTTGAAGCTGTCACGAGAAAATCATGCCACCAGCTTCCTAGAAGTTTTGTGACTCAACTGTATAACTCAGAGATTTGCTACCCAGCCTCAGAACTGCCCCCTCAATTCCTCCAAGGGCAGAGGACGTTTCAGGTCACCAGATGTTCACCTAAAACACTCTCCATCCCTCACTGAAACATAAGAGATATTGATCATCAGGCTCACTCATTTGACAGTATCTATTTCCACAACTGTTTTTTTTTTTTCTTTGCAAAAGAAAAAAGTAAATGCAGTCCAAAAGGATCTGTAGCCACACTGTAGAAGAGGTCCTGTTTACTGCTCTGTAACAGACTTAGAATAGACCCTGACCACACTTTCCTGACAGAGAGGTGGAAAGTTATATTGCTCTGCTCACAATATACAGATAAGCTCTGCTCACAATATACAGGTAAGCCCTCCTACCTCCTGAAATAGAGCAAAGCAGGAGAAAAGGAAAAATGCAGTGAAGGGCCAGCACAGTGATCCACGCCTGTAAACCCAGCACTTTATGGGGAAGCTAAAGCAGGAGGATTACTTAAACCCAGGAGTTCCAGGCAGGGTACGGTGGCTCACACCTGTAATCCCAGCACTTTGGGAGACCTTGGCAGGTGGATTACCTCAAGTCAGGAATTCGAGACCAGCCTGACCAACATGGTGAAACCCTGTCCCAACTAAAAATACAAAAATTAGTCGGGCATGGTGGCATGCACCTGTAGTCCCGGCTACTCAGGAGACTGAGGCACGAGAATTGCTTGAACCCAGGAGGCAGAGGTTGTAGTGAGCCAAGATCGCGCCACTGCACTGCAGCCTAGGCAACGGAGATAGACTCTAAAAATAAATAAATACATAAATACCCAGGAGTTCCAGGCCAGCCTGGGCAACAGTGAGCCCTCATCGCTACAAAAAAAATAAAAAATAAAAAATTAGCTGGGTGTGGTAGTGTGCTCCTGTAGTCTCAGCTACTCAGGAGGCTGAGGTGGGAGGATGGCTTGAGCCTAGGAGGAGAAGGCTGAAGTGAGCCGAGATCGAACCACTGCACTCTAGCCTGTGTGACAGAGCTAGACTCTGTCTCAAACACAAACAAAAAGCAGTGAAAACTGTAATACAAATGCTTGAAAACATCCTCTCATTTGTTCTAAGAGGTCAGTTTGGGTTGTGATCCCAGGGTGTGCTCACCATGCTTTGGCCTCCTGTTGTGCCCTCACTTTGCAGAGCCCCAGGAGGCTCTGTTGTAAGGCGGGAGTCAGCAAGGTCTTCTGTAAAGGTCGAGGTAGTCAGTATTCTAGGCTTTGTAGAACACATGGTCTCTGTCACAACTATGTAATCAATTCTGCCTGTGAAAGAGCAGCCACATACATATATTAACAACTGAGCACGGCTGTGTTCCAGTAATACTTATTTATGGACACTGAAGCCTGAGTTTCAGATAATGTTCACATCACAAAATACTATTAATTCCTTGACAAAAAAGGATTCTCCCGGCTGAGCTAAAACAGGTCAGGTACAGGGGTAAGAAATGCTAGTTCCCATCCCCTTAGTCTTAGAAAAAGGCTATACAGAGTAACTTTTTTTTTTTTTTTTTTTTTGAGACGGAGTTTCGCTCTTGTTACCCAGGCTGGAGTGCAATGGCGCGATCTCGGCTCACCGCAACCTCCGCCTCCTGGGCTCAGGCAATTCTCCTGCCTCAGCCTCCTAAGTAGCTGGGATTACAGGCACGAGCCACCACGCCCAGCTAGTTTTTTGTATTTTTAGTAGAGACGGGGTTTCACCATGTTGACCAGGATGGTCTTAATCTCTTGACTTCGTGATCCACCCGCCTCGGCCTCCCAAAGTGCTGGGATTACAGGCTTGAGCCACCGCGCCCGGCCTACAGCGTAACTTTTAGAATTTAGAACTACAAATAAACGAAAAGGCAGAAAATCGTTGTTGCTTTCCCTCCCCGATGGACTGGGGGACTTTAAGAATCTTCAGGACCAGACTTAGAATACCTAAGTCCTAAACTCTCATCTTACAAATCAAAAACACTGTGACACTGGGGCCCAAAACAAGAAAACGACTTGGCCAAGGAAAGTGGCAGAGCTAGTACAGGAATTCGGGTCCACTCCCTCTCAGCTCTGAGGATTCCTTATCCTCAAAGGTAGCTTTTGTTCAAGTCGGAAGTCAGGAGTGAGGGGTTCAATATTCCAGCCAAGGTAGTAGGTAAACAAGGTTGCCCTTAGCACCGGAATAATTACAGACCCAGACTTCAGCCTGTGCTCAGGTCCGTCTCAGGTGTCCAAAGAACCGTTCCAGGCACTCGAGGGGTGATCCCTGGCCCCTCTGCTGGCTGTTCACCCCAGCTAACAACGGGTGAAAATTGGGGCAAGGAGCTCCGTCTTTCTGCACCCTCTGAGGAGCTTTCGTGCCTTTATAACCACTACCTTGGAAGAAAGAGCGCAGAGAAAGGAGCCTACTTCCTAAAAGAGCAACTTGAGGCCGAGCAAGGGGGTCGCGACAGTGCGAAGCGAGATAGCAGCGGAGCCAGCATTCGAACCCAGGTCCCTGAACTCACAGCCCGGACTCTTTCTCACCCCTAACCACAGAGGGACGAAGTGGGGCTGGGATCTCTGGAACCCGCCTCTCGCCACCAGGCGCCGGAGCTACAGCTCCCGAGGCTCCTAGGAGATGCAGAAGACACCTGCCCGGAACAACTGGCTGGCAATGCCACTCTAAAGCGGACGGGCGGGCGTAGCCTCGCCTTATAGGCTCGCAGCATTTCCGGTGGCGCGCGAGGCCTCCTGGGAAGTGAAGTCCGGAACCCGGGGAGGCCTGCTCTCAATACGCCAAGGTGCTAGCACCCTAACTCCCGTTCCTCCTGGGCGTTTCTTCTCCAAGTCCAAAGTCAGGGTCCAGGACTGCTGCGATGCATCAGCCCCGCCCCTCATACTCCATCCTGAGGAGGCGGAAATGTTCAGGTGAACGCGACCTCCCACCACGAGCCTGCTCTCAGCAAGGTCGCGCGCAGCGTGGGCGGGAGCCCTAAGTCAGCTGGTTGCTACGCTGTGAGGGCCCGGAGCCGGCCGGGCGCAGGACAGCAGAAGCTCCAACATGGCGGCCGGGCTGGCCACAGAGCGGAGGGAGGAAGACCGGGCCAGCGTCCGCCATCTACTTCCGGAATTTAAAGCCGGCTTCCGGAAGCCGGGAGGGTGTCCCCATGACAACCGACGTTGGGGTTTGGAGGTGAGAATGCACGACGAAGAGTGGGTTAAGTGACCAGAAGTCAGAATTTTTGGTGCTGTTGTTTTGGGCTTGGGTTTTTATGCTTTGTTGTTGTTGTTGTTGTTTGCCGAGGAAGCCCGGTTTTTAAGTGGATTGGGAGGCGTGAGGAATACTGCTCTGGGTACAAAGGGAAGGCGGCAGGTAGCGGTAGACGAATTAAAGAGCTTCATGAGCTTGCGAATCCCCACTGCCCTAAACTGGAGAGGATCGTCGTACGTAGAGAGAGCCTTGGGTGTTTCTGCATAACGGATCCCCCAAACAGCCCCAGTGAGTAGTGGTTAAGAGCACGGGTTTGGCGTCACACTCAGTTATGAAGCCCGGTTCTGCTGACTTCAGACCCGGAGGAATGCCTTGAATTTTGACTCCTGTGTCCTTTCCTGTAGAATGGTAATAATTCTCACCTTGCAGTTGTAGAGAAGATTGAAGGAAATGATCTTGGTTGACAAGATTATCGTGGTGTGGGTACCTATTATTTAATGCGGCCGGGCGCGGTGGCTCACACCTGTAATCCCAGCACTTTGGGAGGCCGAGGTGGGCGGATCATGAGGTCAGGAGATCGAGACCGTCCTGGCTAACACGGTGAAACCCCATCTCTACTAAAAATACAAAAAATTAGCCGGCCGTGGTGGCACGTGTCTATAGTCCCAGCTACTCGGGACGCTGAGGCAGGAGAATCACATGAACCTGGGAGGCGGAGGTTGCAGTGAGCCGAGATCGTGCCACTTTACCCCAGCCTGGGCAACAGAGCGAGACTCCATATCAAAAATACATATATATATACACATATATATACGTATATATATAATATTTATATATATATACGTATATATATGCGTATATATAATATTTATATATATATACGTATATATATAAAAAATATATACATATATACATATATAATATTTATATATACGTATATATATGCGTATATATATTTACATATATACGTATATATGTATATAAATATATATATACGATATATACGTATATATATATATATATATATTTTTTTTTTTTTTTAATGAATGTGGAAACTAGTTACATACATCTAGTAGGTGGAACTTCACCACCTGAGGTGGAGGAGGTGCCTTAACCTTCCAGAGCCTCTGTGTAAAATGGGGATTATATGCATTATAATGGCTTCTTAAGATGGTTGTAGGATTAAGTATAAGGTTAGAAATATGAAAAGAGCTTATAAATTGCGAAACATTTTACAGATGCTAATTTAATCACTAACAGTCCAAAGCATTTTGAAATTTCTTTATAGATTTGGCACAGCAGCAGGGTCATAGGACACCCCCCAGAGCAACCTGTGGGTCTTGGAATAGATGAAAAGAAAGACAGCTGTCACTGTGTTGCTACCTTAAACGTAAGCTTTCCAGGAGGGCCCTATTTCCTCTCTGCTTTTTCTGCTTACAGCACTTCACACTTTGGTGCCAGCATTTTTCCTGCCTATATATCAGTATATCAGTTAAGAAAGAGACAGTTTAGTCCAGTAGTTAAGAACACAAACTCTGGACCCAGGCTGCCTGGATCTGAATACCAGCTCTGCCACTTACTAATGATGCGATCTTGGACAAATTATTTTACCTCTCTTGGCCTCAATTTTCTTATCTGTAAAATGGGGAAGGTAATAATATATTATATCATCTACCTCATGTGCTTGTAGAACACTCCCTGGCACATTGTAACCAATGTATAAGGATTTGCTGCCATTTTTACTACCACTGCTACTGCATGACCAGGCAGTCTTTCTTCTCAGTAATACAACTGGATTCCTTTGGTTAGAGACAGCTCTGCATTTAGAAGGTTCCAGGCATGAAGAAAGGTTGCTGAAGGTCCTAGAAGAAATGACTTCTTGGGGTTTTTATGGTTGCTGGTTTTGTTCACTAAAGTATCCCATGCAACTGGAATGGTGCCTGGCACACAGTAGGTCCTTAGTGTTTGTGGTATTAGTACATTTCTTTTTCTCTTTTCTTTTCTTTTGTTTTTGAGATGAAGTCTCACTCTGTTGTCCAAGCTGGAGTGCAGTGGCACGATCTTGGCTCACTGCAACCTCCATCTCCTGGGTTCAGGTGATTCTCCTGCCTCGGCCTCCCGAGTAGCTGGGACTACAGGCATAAGCCACCATGCCCAGCTAATATTTGAATTTTTGGTAGAGACGGGGTTTCCCTATGTTGGCCAGGCTGGTCTCAAACTCCTGACCTCAGGTGATCCGCCTGCCTTGGCCTCCCAAAGTGCTGGGATTACAGGCGTGAGCCACTGTGCCCAGCCCAGTCTTAATACATTTCTAACCTTGCTTTTCTTATTGCCCCAACAGGTCCTTGCCGTAAAGCAAGGGAAACAGCTCTGATTCAAAGGAACTAGAAGCCTCTCCCTCAGTGGTGGGGAGATAACCAGGAGCTGTTTTCTGGCGAACTGTGGGATGTGCCCTTGGGGGCCCAAGAAAACAGAAAGAAGATGCTCCAGACCAGTAACTACAGCCTGGTGCTCTCTCTGCAGTTCCTGCTGCTGTCCTATGACCTCTTTGTCAATTCCTTCTCAGAGCTGCTCCGAAAGGCTCCTGTCGTCCAGCTCGTACTCTTCATGTGAGTGCAGCAAGGCATTCTGGAAAGCTGAACCCAAGCAATTCAAAGGCCCTGACAGTCGTGATTTAGTGTCTTAAAGTTATTAATAGGCTGGGTGTGGTGGCTCATGCTCTTAATCGGAGAACTTTGGGAGGCCAAGGCAGGAGGATCTTTTGAGGCCAGAAGTTTGAGGACCTGATTGGGCAACATAGCAAGACCCTGTCTCTACCTAATACAATTTTTTTTTAATTAGCTCAGCATGGTGCCACACACCTGTAATCTCAGTGATTGAGGATGCTGAGGTGGAAGGATTGCTTAAGCTCAGGAGTTCAAGGCTACAGAGAGCCATGATCATGCCATGGTACTCCAGCCGGGTGACAGAGAAAGACCCTATCTCAAAAAAAAAACAAAAAACAAAAAACAGAAACCAGTTGTTACTAGAACTATATCAGGGAAGATAAAACTTAACATTGTCCTGGGTTTTCCCATGGTATATAGGTAGGGTCACAGGTCCTGTTTACATATACTTTTTTTTTTTTTTTTTGAGACAGGGTATGCTCTGTTGCCTAGGCTGGAGTGCAGTGGCGTGATCATGAGTCACTGCAACCTCAGCTTCCCGGTCTCAGGTGATTCTCCCACTTCAGCCTCTCTAGTAGCTGGGGCCATAAGCTTGCACCACCATGCCTAGCTAATTTTTTGTAGTGGTTTCGCCTTGTTGCCCAGGCTGGTCTTGAACTCCTGGGCTCAAGTGATCTGCCCACCTCAGCCTCTCAGAGTGCCAGGATTACAGGTGTGAGCCATTACACCCAACCTTTATATACTTCTAATGAGGGTTGGGGATAAGGAGACCAGTTTACATAGGAAATTAGAGTCAGACTGCTGAGCCTGTCATTTTCTCCATTTGTGAGCAGAAATATTGTCTGCCACGAAAGAGGATTACAAAATGGCAGGACAAGCCGGGCGCGGTGGCTCGCGTCTGTAATCCTAGCACTTTGGGAGGCTGAGGTGGGCAGATCACCTGAGGTCAGGAGTTCAAGACCAGCCCGGCCAACATGGTGAAACTCCATCTTTAAAAAAGAAATTTAAAAAATGATATTAAAAGAAAAAAAAACGGCAGGACAACCATATTAATACTATGTATGTAAATCCCGTAGGATGGAAACTATTAGCATTAATTCTCCACAATTTATAGACTCCAGGAGGCAATCTCTAAGCTGAAAACCATAGTCTTGGACTTGATCTTTCTTCATTCTACAAATATTCATGGGCCTAAACCCATGACAAGTAAATCTGACGAGTTCCTGCTCTTGGGTTTCCATCCTAATGGAGAAAGACAATGAATACACAGAGAGAAATAAGATCATTTCAGATAGTGATGTCATACAGTCGATATGGAGTCATTGGGGTAAGGAGAGGAGGGTTACTTTTGGTAGTAGGGTTAAAGGAATGTCTTTCAGAACGGGACATTTGAACTGCAACTTGAATGGCACAAAGGTACTAGCCATGCAAAGATCAGGGAAGTACATTCTTTTTTTTTTTTTTTTTTTTTTGAGACGGAGTTTCGCTCTTGTTACCCAGGCTGGAGTGCAATGGCGCGATCTCGGCTCACCGCAACCTCTGCCTCCTGGGCTCAGGCAATTCTCTTGCCTCAGCCTCCTAAGTAGCTGGGATTACAGGCACACACCACCACGCCCAGCTAGTTTTTTGTATTTTTAGTAGAGACGGGGTTTCACTATGTTGACCAGGATGGTATCGATCTCTCTACCTCGTGAAGGGAAGTACATTCTTATCTTGCTAGATGA